TGGGGGCCATCCTGGCGATTGGATGACTTGGCAGAAAAGATTTTGATACGACGAGATCCGACAGGGGCAGCGAGAGAGATGGTGGAGGGTGTGGTAGGTAGCCTGCAAGCCGCAAAATACTGACATGCAGAGAGCAAATCTTAGCTCGGCTGCTAGGCGACATGCGCCAGCGATTCATCTCCATTACTCAGTATGTATGTATGTATGTATGGGGATGGGGAAGGCTGTTGATTTCCCAGTCATCACCGCTCTCTCCCCCGTGGGGCCGGAACTGGGGAGAGTGTGATCGGGATAACAAAATCCAGCCAACAGTCACTCGCCAGCCAGCCAGCCAACGGGCCAGCGCGTGGCCCAGTCTGATGGGGCAACCAGCCGCTAGTTAAGAGGCAAAATCGAAGTCTGCTCAAAAGCTTGAACGGGCGGGCAAAGATCCAACAATCGAACGAATAGAGAAGCGGATTTCGAGCAAACACCGCACCTCGGATATCCATTGCATCCACTTGACCTGCGTTGGAGATTTTTCCGTCTGCTAGTAAATCTTACTCACTAGTTAGGCTGGCCAGTCAGGTCTAACTTACATCAGCTGGCAATGGGTTTTTGGGTCCGCCGCCCGTATCTCCAAGAAAGCATGGACTGAGCGGAGGCGGCTAACTGATTAGCTTGTTCCAAAGGCGGGCCCTAATGAGCCTAGGTAACGATTGGAAAATAAGCAATGGCCGCCTCTCTCTACCAGCTAATAACTTGCGAACGAAATCTACGTCGCGCTCCCTCGTCCCCATATGCGACGAAGCTGCCCGATGGCGTTCTATCCGGCATTGTGTGCTGCACAGCAGCGCCAGCCATGGTCGCCTCCCTCCTGTTAGAATTCGGCCCACTTAAACGCGCATCAGAATCCTTCCTTCGCATGTCGTCCCAGCTCGGCAGCGCGCGCACGCGTGGTCTCATGCGCAAACAAAGTATAAAACATTGGATTGGTGTGGTAGGGAGAGAGCAGCCACGCCTGAGTGCTACGTCGGCCGACCGGATAGTTCGGCAGGGCCACAAGAGAGCTCAGCGCGTCTTGCGGTCTCGTCTGTGCCGCTCTGTCGGGCTGGGTTTCCCACCCATTATACGAAATCTATCCCGTTGCGTTGTGAATATGTAAGTTCTCGCCCATAATAACTCTGGCTATTACTCACCGGGCATACCACCCAATAGTAATATGTACCAATCAATAGTACTTCGTCTAGAGTTAGACCCAGGGGCCAGCTAATAATATGGGAACCCATCCCATTTCTCCTCTTCTCCTACCCCGGTTCCCCCCGTTTACCCCAATTCTCCCCCTCTGTTTAAAGACAGGCTAGCCCCGCATGCAAAGACGGGGAGGCCTGCTCGTCCCCAGAATTTGCAGGCCTTCATTCGACGGAAAATTTCATGGAAAAATTATTCCCTCCTTGCGAGCGTACGTAGGCCCCCTAGTTAGTTAGCCTGGTCGTCCACCGTTTGCCCGTGGGCACTCCCGAACGCGACCCCATGGGCGACTCGGCGGTATGGACCCTTGGAGCCAGTCGTATGCAGGCATGCATGCATGCTAGCCAGGCCATGTCATGCCTGTATGGTACTATGTACTATCTTGTCCAGAACGACAAAAGCCGACCATGCTGCCCCTTCGCCTCTTCGCTTCTCTTTTTTTTTTCCTTCTTTCCACCAGGCCAGTTCCCGTCTGTCAGTTTGGTAGGAAGTAATTCGTGACCAAGCCTGGTTCCTTCAAGATGAGTTTCTTTCAGAACTACCGTGTCTATATCCTCACGTCGGTAGCCTACCTAGGCTCCTTCCTCTTCGGTAAGCTATTCCAGGTGTTCCATTCTGATAGAGTTGCGCAGAGAGAGATAGAAGGATCGTGCTAATAGGGGGACTATCAATACAGGCTATGACACCGGTGTCATGGGCAGTGTGCTCGCCCTGAGCAGCTTCAAGGGCGACTTTGGCCTGCCCACGGGCTCCTCCACCTTCGCGTCCTCGACCAACTCGCAGATCTCCGCCAATGTAGTGTCGCTGCTTACCGCCGGATGTTTCTTCGGCTCCATCGCCGCCTCCTTCATCAATGACAGGTTCGGCCGCCGCCGCACCCTCATGTTCTTCATCTGCTGGTTCCTCGTCGGTGCCGCCATCCAGACCGGTTCCTCCAAGGCCATCGGCCAGATCTATGCTGGTCGTGTCATTGCTGGTATCGGTATCGGTGGAATGTCCGCTGTGACTCCAGTCTTCGTCTCCGAGAACGCACCCCCTGCCCAGCGTGGTCGTATCGCCGGTCTCTTCCAGGAGTTCCTCGTTATCGGCAGCACTTTCGCCTACTGGCTCGACTACGGCGTGTCCCTGCGCATTCCCGCCAGCACCAAGCAGTGGCGTGTGCCCGTGGCCATCCAACTGATCCCCGGTGGGCTCATGCTGATCGGTCTCTTCTTCCTCAAGGAGTCTCCCCGCTGGCTGGTCAAGGCCGGCCGCCACGAGGAGGCTCTGCAGTCGCTCGCGTACATCCGCAACCGCGGCGCCACCGACCCCGAGGTCGAGCAGGAGTTTGCCGAGATCCGCGCCTCCGCCGAGGAGGAGCTCGCCGCCAGCGAGGGTGTCACCTGGAGGGAGTGCCTGCTGCCCCAGAACCGCTTCCGCTTCCTCCTGGCTTTCCTCATCATGATGTGCCAGCAGTTCACCGGCACCAACAGCATCGGCTACTACGCTCCCGAGATCTTCGAGAGTATCGGCGTCGCCAGCACCAGCACCTCGCTGTTCGCCACCGGTGTCTACGGCACCGTCAAGGTCATCTCCACCGCCATCTTCCTGATCGTTGGTATCGACCGATGGGGTCGCCGCAAGTCCCTGATCGGTGGCGCCATCTGGATGGCCACCATGATGTTCATCATCGGCGGTGTCCTCCACAACCACCCCCCGGACATCCACGCCACCACCGTCTCTCCCGCCTCGACCGCCATGATTGCCATGATCTACCTCTACGTCATCGGCTACTCGGCATCCTGGGGCCCTACCCCGTGGGTCTTTGTCAGCGAAGTGAGTCTTGCATCCAATCCACTATTGATTATGTACCTCCCCCGGGAGATATATGTATTTAACGTAATGAACTAACACGTATATCCTCTTTCCCAGATCTTCCCCACCCGCCTCCGCCCCTACGGTGTCGGCCTCGCCGCCACCACTCAGTGGCTCTTCAACTTCGTGGTGACTGAGTTCACGCCCATTGGCGTCACCAACATCGGATGGCGCATCTTCCTCATGTTCGGCATCTTCTGCGTTGCCAACTCCCTGTTCGCCTTCTTCCTGATGCGCGAGACCAAGGGCAAGTCCCTCGAGGAGATGGACGTGCTGTTCGGCAACGTCACCGAGGAGCAGCGCCGCGCCGATGTCGACCAGGTCCTGCACAAGTCGCACTTTGGCAATGGTGCCGATGTCGAGCACGCCGACGAGGTCGCCCCCGCCACTGTCCAGGAGACCAAGGCTTAGAGAGAGATGTTTGACTAGGCTTTTTATTATTTTTATTTAATATACCGGGTGAAATGAGGGGTGGTTTTATGTCACTGTAGTTTCTCTCCGCCTGTATTAGCGTTGTCTCCTTTCTGTGCCAGATCACCCACCAGATTGCGTGCGTGGTGCATTAGAGGATAGACATACATTTAAACAAGCAAATAGCTGAATACATATCCATCGGTGTTTGTTTGTCACACAATACCACAGAAAACAAAAACAGTGTAGCGTGACACTAGGTTCCCATTGCTCGCATCGGTATCTTCTGGTACAATCTCTATAACAATCTCTACTTATAGAACAGCACTTTTTCCACATGATACCCAATACATCCGACCGATCAGGCTTGTAAGTTAACGTGTTTTCGCTTATTACAGTACTCCTCGCGCCTCCCCGCAGACGTGATTTTTTTTTTCTTTTTCCCCGCACGTTCATCACCCCGTCCTCCCCAATTCCCCCGCATCGTGAACGACTTGTTGGTGTCTTGGCTTGCAGTACCGATGCCAAGATGGCTTTCAGCGAGGGGAACCAACCCGCGTGGTAGCGTCCTGGCGAGAGCGCCACTTCCGCCCCCTACCTACCAGGCGGGTAGGCTGCCAAGATAAAAGAAAAACTTGCCGCGGTATGGGTGGCTTAAGTCTTGGCTGTTCAGCGAAAGTTGCTGAGAAAGGCTTGGCATTCAGAAGAAATTCGCGCTGAAAGTGTTAGAAGCGGCCGAGAGCCGCCATGGCGACTCGGATGGCTGCCAGAGTCTCTCAGAGGGTGTTTTTAGTTTCAGGCTTCCATCTGTTGAGCCCTGTACCGCTTTCCGAGAACGCCCAACGGGATAGAAACGAAATAAACTAGAACAGATACGCCTCTGCCTGCAGGCTAACCCCTTAGGTTAATGGGCAGCCATGATATGGCAAGCCCCTTCGGCAACGCCATCAGTCCGAGGGTCAGCGCGCGGCGTTAGACAAGCACAACACACCTGCCGCCCGCCACGCATCCTGCAGAAAAGAATTGGAAGGACGAGACAAAACTCAAAGAAAGCCACCGATGGTACTCACGAGGTGGAACCCTGTCCATCGAGTATCTCTGTGACGGTGCAAAACTTTCAAAGGAGAGCTGAGTTGTTACTCTAGTTCCACTGCAGCGCAACCCTGACCAGCAAGCCGTCACATCGTCCACTGCATGAACCAAAAGCAATAGCAGGGCTGCATGATTGAGCTCCCGATGGAATGTGGGCGGCTGGTGGAGTGGATGTACCGCAATGATGCCCAGACTGGAGGCTCCGCTGTGACGATTTTGGTGATGCTGCGATCGTTAGACGGAGCCACACCGCACCAAGTGGGCGGAAAGACCCAAAATCAAATCGACTGCCAAAATATTTCACGGTGCCACACCAGAAACTTTAGAAATAATCGAATTGAGAAACCATCCAAGCAGAGGTTGTCAGTTTTTTTTTCTCCTAAGTAGAAGGGAAGGGGAACAAAAAAGAAACCGGGCTCAGCCGGGATTTGAACCCGGGACCTGTCACATCCACGTTTAATGGAAGGATATTTTTCAACTACCCGAAGCGACAATCATACGACTAGACCACTAAGCCTGTTCTTTCCGGCGGTGGAAGGCTTTCAGGCATAATGTTTGCAGCATCTGTGGGATGGGGGAAGGGAAAATACCCACTTGATTGCCTGCCTGTCGCGGTGGGTGACGAGGTCACGACTGGAGCCCAGCCCAGAGCGAGACTATCGTGTCTCTTTCTTCCACCTTCCCGTACGGGCCGCTCTCTCTTCCGAACGGGCTGCTATACCCACTCATACCCGCCGCAAAGGGCAAAGGTGGGGAGGTTTTTTCCAACAACGAAAATCTACGGAGGGAAGCTCTCGGTTGCCACGAGCCTCCAGCGCGGAAGCATAGCGCAGCTGCAGCTTCACGGGGGACCTGCAATGGACTTGCCTATGTGTTGAGTTGATGACTCACTTTGCATTTGGTGTACGTCCATCGTAATATTTCGCTGCATTTGAGGCCACTACAAGCTATCCGCCAGCTCCGTGGACGAACAAGGACGCCCTAACTGTCGCAAGAGAGCTAGTCTCGCAGGGTCAGTCATGAACGTTCCAGTCATTTCTCCCTATATTGACTTCTTGTGGTCTCCGTAACGATCTTCTGTGGTCGTGACGAAGTCTGAAACCATACCCACTTGCGTTGTCTTTAGCTTACGTTGGTACACTAAACATGCATCAGATTATGCATCAGATTACACTCATATACATTGGACCAGCTACCTTACTTACTTACTTACGTGATGAAACTCTGCCAATATGGGATTCTATTGGCTCATAGTGCATTGGTACAAAGCATCCATGGATGTTAGGGATTGCAGTGCGTGCCTGACGTCAGATGACAGTTCCAATCATCGCTACTTGGCCGGCTCGCCTGGCAGAGTCTGATACCAGATCTAGCAGAAGGGTCCCATAGCTTCGCCGCCGCAGGCAACATCTGGTTGATCCTCTAGATTACCGATGGCGCCGGTTTCTAGCACAATACTCTCGTTATTTTGCTTCCTGATCATAATATATTGCTGTCGTCTATTATCAATCTTTCTGTCGACGCAAGCACGTTATTTAGTGGATATGGAAAATTAGTTTAACTCATCAGGCACAAGGGGCACAGCTCTTTAGCCAGTAATGCAATTTTTGATGGTATTGATTTTTATACATATTTCGTATGCATTTGTGTAAGTTATTCCCGCCGCAAATAATTTTTGCAACCAATGCAATTGTGTCATGAACGTGGAGGCAACTCGTTGTGATCAATGACATATACCCAACCGAGAGGTGACCTTACCAATCCTATTACCAATGGAGAGGTACCTCCCATTCAACCGTACACATATAAATACAAACAATGGATATCGCCAACTCCCTAAACTCCAATTTTCAATGTTGTGGGTGAATGTCATTGCGTCGTCCTCAGTTCCACTCTCCTCGGGCCTCATATCCCCCCTCCCAAAACGGCCGCGCATATTGCTGTTGTTTCACATCTGGTTGGTCGCACATGTCCGCGTTATTCGGCTGCTGCCGGCTGCCGGAGATGGAGCGACAGACCGCAACGGCGAGCACGGCTAGCACCGCGGAGGCGAAGAAGGAAGGCAGCGCCAGCACGGCGATGGCGAGCAATGCGGCGTACTCGACCAGCGAAGCCTCTATGGCTTCTGCCGACGGCGTCTCCCAGAAGTGAAGGTACTCGGAAGCTTCCGGGGGCTCGAATCCTAAGCCCCGCGGCACGAGTCCGAGGGTCTGGAAAGTATCTGGCAAGATGTTCTTGCAGGTGGATGTATTTCGCACGTCCTGTATTTTATGTTAATTTTCTAGAGCATCGTATTTACTTGTACGGTACATCGGAAGGGAACGATGAAGCTTGCACGGAGAGAGAGAGAGAGAGAGAAAGAGAGAGAGACTCACCTCGTAGTCATGGCACATGCCGAACAGGCTCAGGTCATACGACTTTTTGGCATAGTCGTTGGCATAGTTCATGCCCATCCACGAGCTGACGCCGAATACCAAAGCCACGACCAGCGCGGCGGTCGCCAGGCTGTTGGCTGTATATTTGTGCCACGAGTATGCGCTGCCTCCCGACGACTTTGCAGACCCGTCCCCGACGTCCAGTGCCCCTCCCATCCGCCGTCGCGCTGCGCTAGCGGAATGAGAGGTGGTGGCGCGACGATCTTCAAGTCGCTCCTCCGGTATCGCTAATGAGGTGTTGAGCGCTAGCACCGCCGCTTGTCGTGCTGAGCGCATCGTGTCGCTCATGCCCGCTAGATTCGTGCTGCGCACATAGTTTGCTGTGTCCTCTGGGTCGTTTTCAGCGGCATTTCTGTTGTGGATTGGCGACGCGGTCGAGTCCCCGTTTCTAGGCGTGTGAATCATCGTTGTTGGACGGCGGCCTGTGATGGCGTGCCGAGGAGGCTCGTGATCGGACCCCGGATCTAGGCGCACCAACGGCACGTCGGTCCACTGGACTCCCACTGCCCCGCGTTCAACGTCTTCTTCCAACGCCGTGGTGCTAGTTCTCGTCATCGGTGACAGGTGTATTGCCGTATGCGTGCCTTCTCAACAGCGCGGAAAATCACGCCAGGATACTTGCAACCGGTGTTGTCTTATTCGTTTCGGGTGGGGGGGGAGGTATCAAGCTGTCAGGTCACGAAGAGTTGTTGGTTGGATCGATTTTCGTTCGAGCAGTTACTGAGCGGACGAATAGACAAACCCGGGAGCTGGGAGGGGTGCGCCCACAGTCATGGACACACGCGGGGTCCTGTTCCAGGGCTGTCTCGGGCTGTGGTGATTGGATGGGCCCAGCCCGGCCCAGTCCACCCGCAGCCAGCACTGCCACGGCTTTGCTGCAGACATGGGATCCTCCTCTTCCTGCTAACCGCGGGCCTACCGAAGCCCCCCGCCAGCCAATCAATCCCCATTCACATGCAAGTGTCCCGCAATGCCCAGCCTGGGCAACTCATTCCTATTCGAAATAGGCGAGCGCAGAAGAAACACAAGAGGAAAAAGAAAAAGCAACAAGCACTGCAGACTTCATTCAAACGATCAGATCAGACTGGAGCACGCGAGTCTCTCCCGTTCAGTCACGACAAGACTGGATTCTGGACCGTCATATCAGCACATCGGCCGGCGCTGGCCGTTTATGGATTGAAGAGGGGTTCAGACAAAATTTCTATTTTTGTTTCTTGTATGAATAACGATCCCTGAACTTGACATTAGTCTCGGCGAATTTTGTGTCGATCTGGACCAGTATTCATCTGGTCGCCTACTTTTCATCATCCAGGGCCAGGACACTCTAACAAATACACACATTGCATTGCATTGCATTGTCGGCTGGTATCATGCTTGGTGACTGCCTGGCAATCAATCCAGTGCAGCTGCTGGCTTTACCTCACGTCATATGCTGGATCAGGGTTTGGCTCCTTCGATAGTGTCAATCTACTGTACTAGGAGCAAGTTTACCCTAGAGCTAAGGCTAGGCTAAGGGCCAAAGACGACCTGCATCTCTAATCCAGGGGTAAATTATAACTTTAGACGTTGTAGGCTCGGGCCCGAGCTTGGGCTGGTTGAAGACGGGTTTCTGCCGATCGGTTCTAATCATTGCACCGTGAGGAGTTGCTCGCATGGGGTATCTCCATCCCGCGCGGCAGTGCCTACCTAGGTAAGTTAGCTACAGTACTATCAATACTGCCACACGTGGGTACCATGCTAATCCACAATCGAATGGTCAGGGAATGTATGCAAACTAACGTTAAGTAAGACCCTTGAAAAGGAGCGCGGGAAATACCCTGAGGTTGCGGGTTGTCGGGAATCTCAACATTTTCAGTGATGGCTTATTATTTTTAAAAAAAAAAAAAATTTCCTTTTTTTGGAATTAGCAATTGCAAGTTTACTGTGAAAATATATACAACAAGCAGAATGGAACCAAAGACTCTCCGAGATCCTGCTGTGCTCTTGATTGCCATTTCTCAATACTTTTAAAAGGATACAACCAGCAATCGATGTACCCCGATCGGTTATCTGACACAAAAATGCACCCGGCCAGGTGGCAAAGCAAATAAGCAGCCACGTTACATCTCGAATTCCTCACCCGCTCCCGACCGAACGAATATGCTCCTGGACGAGTAATTGAGCATTAGAGGAACATTTTCACTGTCGTGGCGCTGGTAGCGTTCCATTTTTTTTTTCTTTTGCCTCGCCGGTCTCGATCGTCCTCATGGCCAGCAGCCAAGCTCATGGCGATGAGACGATTTTGATGTGACATGTTAGTTAGCGCATCCCCGTATTTGGCGGTGCACAATAGACGTGGGGTGTTTCTTGCCAAGCGCCCCGGATGGCAAGTTGGCCGAGTGCTAGCATCTTCCTGATCTCGCAAATGCAAGCAAGCACGTCACGCGCTTAGTTAGTATTCCCAGTAATCAGGGTAACGGAGGTTGCCGGGTGCTTTGGGGTGCCCGAACCATAAAGCCCCCGTCTTGGCAAGCGCTGTTAGACAAAGTGTAACCACCCTGCCACCGTGGCAGATGGAGGAAGTACACAGTAAATCGTTGATGGAAAATTTTCAGAGCAATGCGCGAGAAATATGCGAGCAGCACGGGAAGAAAAAACACCAAGTGGGGAATCGCTACAGTGGAAGCAACACAAGATGTAGCCAACATTACGTCTTTTAGTTATCAGTGGCACCTTTGTTGAGGAAACTGAGACTTGGCCCGCCCAAGGCGCACAAGGACCGCACAAGGACCGCACAAGTACTGCACACCGCCGCCGGTGACGCAAGCCTCAAAGACCCGTCTGAGACCTATCCTGCGTCTGTAAGGGTCCTCGGCTGGTCTGGGGCGGCCGCAGTATGACGTAGGTGGAGCCGCCCAATACCAGACAGAGTCTATAGCAGAAGTGGTCCAGCCAATCACGAGGCTGCGCTATACGGAGAACATCCCGGCTAGATAGCAAAAGTGATTCGCCTTAATCCGAGAGGCAGCAGAGCATGTTTTGCACTTCGGGACTTATATTACCACCATGGTAGTCGTGCCGATGTCACTTTCAGGGGTGTTGG